AACTATGCTCATTTTTTTAAAATTCTCTTTTTACTCCTCTGATTGGGTGTTTTTCCCTACCTTGTCTTCTAAATCACTGATTTGATCCTCCACTTCATCCAACCTACTGTTTTTTCCTTCCAGTGTATTCTTAATTTTGGATATTGCATTCTTCATTTCTGACTGGTACTTTTTTGTGGTATCTATGTCCTTTTTCATGCTGTTGATCATCCTGATAATCATTGCTTTGAACTTTTTAGCAGATAAATTGCTTGGGTCCATTTCATTTAGCTCTTCTTCTGGACAATCCTCTTGTTCTTTCATTTGGGGTCTGTTCCCTTGTCTCCCCATTTTGGCTGCCTCCTTGTGTTTGTTTCTGAGTATGAGATAGATCTGCTATTACTCCCAGTCTTGTTAGGTTGGCCTTATATAGTAGGTGTCTTGTGGGACCCAGTGGCACAGTTTCCCTGATCATCTGAGCTGGGTGCTCTGGAATTCCCCTTGTGTATGTAATGTGGGCCCTCCTCTTATAATTGAGTCTTGATTGCTATTGGCCCATTCGTGCATGGGATCGACCCTCTGGCTGGCTGACTGTGATGCTCAACCCTGACCGTGGTGTGCAAGCTGCTGTGCAGGTGCTGATCACACGAAGCAGAATTCCCTCAGCAGGGTTTGGTGCCTGCTGAGATTTCCCTGCAGATATGCTGCTTGTGACGCTTACTGGATCCCTGTTCTGTTGTTGTCTGAACCAGCAGGTGTATTGACTCTGGGCCTTTTCAGAGAGACTCCAGTGCAAGCCAATTTCAGACACTGCCTGTGACTGGCCCTGGGCAGCCTGTGTGAAGCTATCAGGGATACACAGTTATGGCTCTCTGCTGGGCCTGGTCGCATGTGGAAAGCACTAAGCTGCATACCAGGCTGGCTTTCGGCAGCACCCGGCCTGGGGGGCAGGTCAGCAAGTGTTTCAAAGCTCACAGAGATCTGCCTCCGCCCGCAGGCTCCAGTTAGACTTAGAGCCTCTCGTTGTACTCCTCAGCAAGGCATAGCTCCATAGGGTGGGGAGAGAGGCATTCCAGTAGGGGGGGCTATTGCTGCCCCACAGGCGATGTGTATGGACCAGATTTCCCTGCCCGAGAAAGATGGCTTCTACAGTATAAAGGAATGACTCAGCACAGGGATCCTGGTGGCTGAGCCCTTAGCTCTCTCCCCAGAGCCAGCCACCTCAGACTCTCCTCATGAGGCTTTAGTCCACTCTGCCCTCCCTCTGCCAGAGCCCAGGGTAAGTGACTACAAACAAAATTTGGGGCATTGGCCCTTTAGAGAGGATGTCTGTGTCGCTAACCGTCTCTCCCTAGTGGACAGAGACCCCATTGCTTTTCATAGTGGATGCTATGTGGGCTCTTTTCCCAGTTCTGGTGCTCTAGGATGGGGAGCCTGGCTGGGAGTTTAGACCCCCCGCAACTGAGATAGCCCTCCAGAACTTCAGCTGCTGCCTTTGACAGCCCGGACAGCCCTCTGATACCTCTGCACTTCTTCTAATCTCGATGTGGCTCCTTCTCAAAGTCCTTGGTTATATGGCTTCTCTCCGGCTAATCTTCAGTTGATTATTCAGGATGATTGCTCTATAATTTAGTTGTAATTCCAGTTTAGTGCTGGGAGGAGGTGAGTATAGCTTCCACCTAATCTGCCACCATCTTAGTCTGCCTCGGGAATTTCTAAATACACATGTGTGTATATATAAATTCAGGATTATATATCTGACTAATAAAATTCTGAATTTTACATGTGGGTTGAGGGTGCAGACCCTCAAAAATCCAAGTATAACTTTGGACTCCCCCAAAACTGAACTACTAAAAGCATTTTTATAACATACAAAGTATGTATTAATCAACTGTTTGTTATTAAAAAGTGCTAGTAAAAATAATAAGAGAAAATATAGTTATAGCTCTATACATACTTATTTTGAAGACTACATATAAGTGGACCCACACAGTCCAAATTCATGTTGTTCAGGGGTCAACTATTTATACACATCGGCCCTCAAATAACCTCATTTTTTTCAACATCATTTCATTTATAATGATTTTTTTAACAATGATTCCCACCTGTCCGGTGTGGCTCAGTGGTTGAGCATCAACCTATGAACCAGGAGGCCACAGTTCTACTTCCAGTCAGGGCACATGCCCGGGTTGTGGGCTCAATCCCCAGTGTAGGGCATGCAGGAGGCAGCCGATCAATGATTCTCTCTCATCATTGATGTTTCTCTCTCTCTCTCCCTCTCCCTTCCTCTCTGAAATCAATAAAAATATGTATATTTTTAAAAAATGATTCCCAGCCAGGGCCACTGTCTGTGAAGTTCGCATTTCTCCCCATATCTGTGCGGGTTTTCTCTAGGGAGTCCGGTTTCCTCCCCCATCCCAAAGCTGGGCTCGTTAGGTTAACTGGCACAGCTCCATTGTCCTGTGCTGAGTAGGTGGGTGTGGGTGTGCGTGGTCCTGTGATGGAAGGGGTCCTGTCCAGGGTGGTTCCTTCCTTGCCCATGAGCTGCAGCGATAGACACAGCCACCTGCGACCCTGAACTGGAGAAAGTGATCTGGAAAGTAATTATCTTACTAGTTTTTATCAATCTTTCCTAAACGTATGTGTAGCTCACTTTTATTTCAATGTTTAATATCAGAAGTGTTTGGGTCTCTATTTAGACGTTAGGCGATGCTTTTGTGAGTAGGAATATGCTGTAAGAATGTAACTCTTGATTATATCAATCTATAGCAAGATCAGTTTCAGTATACATCATTTCCTTTAAAGTCACAGTTTCCAAGAACTTATTGATGACATGAAGTAAGGACATACAGTACATAAAATAAATCTCAGTCTTTAAAAATCCAGAAAAGCATTCAGATGCACCTTAATAATAACAGACTCCCTTTGAATTCTCAACTTCTGCCCTGCTTCCTTCTCCACAGACTGACTTACCTCCTCAGCAGATGTCTTTGAGATAATTCTACAGAGTAAGCTGTCTCCTGCCTTGGCTAAATGTTCCGGCTGAGCTCATGGCTCTTGCAGTTATAATAACTGGCAAATATCTATCACTCCTGGGGAGTTGTAACTCAGGATCCACTTCCCTATCATTAAACTTGTAGGGGAATTGTTATCTTTGACCCAATTACGACAGGAAAAAATCTTCAGAAAAGAGACTCCGAACAGTAAGACCCCCACTCAGGATGTGAAAAGGACCCCCACATATTTCATTACAAGACAAGATCGGGAGAGGTGCTGTCTCAAAGTGCCTGCCCCTCGTAAGGACAACCAACCACTGAGCAAAAGCACTGCACAGCCCACCCTTCTCCACAGCCGTCCGCCTGGGTTCTGCGTGCCCTTCAGGGTCTCCGACGGCTTTAGATATGAGTCCACACAACAACCATGAGGCATGAACCTCTTAAAATATGTCCTCGTTTTTCCTATTAAGACCATTTAATGCAGACTGATAGGTTACAGGCTTCTTGAACACCGTCTAGGTGACAGCCATCAACCCTCTACTATCAGTGAGGCAGGAGCGTAAGAAGCTGGGAAAATTCCTGGGCAAGTGCAACAGGGAAACTGAGATGAGATCATTAAACAAGGCCAAACAATTTGAACACTTTACGGTGACGCTATCTTCCCTCACCAAGGCCACTTGAGAGCAAATGGTTTACACCTCCCCTCCCTAAGCAGAGAGCACAGAGCTTAAATCACGCTGGTCAGGCAGACAGATAACAAAGACCCAATTGACGCCATTTGTGCCAGCCAAACCCAAGGACAGATGGAGTCAGGGCAACAAATAACCACAACAACAACGACTAGAGCCAGACAGACCCAAGATAAAAGCAAGGCGGTGAAAGTGACCAGAGAATAATCCCAAACTCCCGGCAGGCTCACCGTGAAGTATCAACATTTCGAAGGCCACACCTGGGAAACTAATGAATATTCTGTAAGACCCTCCCCTGAGACCTCCCTAGGACTCCCGCCAGCAGAGAGAAAAACCCTCCAAACGCCCGCCTCTTGTCAGGCATGAGCTGTTTACTTTCTCTCTCCTCAGCTCTCAGGGTCCCCACAAGACTTGCTCTCTGGGGTGTAGCAGGCAGCAGCAGTTCATCCCAAGCTGACCCCAGCTGAACCCGTCTCCAAGGCCCCCCTTCCTGACTTACCAGTGAGCTGACAGCAGCCTGTGTGGCTCACTCCTGTCCCTGTCACTTGTGCTTCCCTGTGAATTCACGCAGCCCAGTGTGGCTCACTTCTTTCCTACTCTTTATGGAGCTAAGCACAGCTCCGTCTGGCTCGCTCCTGCTGCTGCTTCTACCTAAGCCTTTCTGTCTCTGACCCAGCTCTAATGAACACACTCACAATCACCTGGACTCGCGTTGTGAAATCTTTCCTGCACGCGGTCAAGAACCCACACCCTCCGGGCCGGCCTCAGCAGACCGCTCCGCCCGGTGTCCGTCTGGTGACAGAGGGGACCTGGAAGTCTTACTCCTGCTCACCCTCCCGACCAGGTGACCTACCCCTGCCACATCGGTCGTTCCCGAGGCCAGGGCTACACAGAGGTGACGAGCACGGACAACGGCCTGGCTCTCTTGCGAGGTCTACGTCCCTGGCTTCTTGAGGTTAAACGTTAGTCTGTCTCAGGCTGAGAGGGAACAACAGGGAAGGAGAGTCTCGCCATAAGGCCCAAGACAGCCGTCGGGGCTCTGCCCGAAGCCGCAGGTGTGTGGTTTTCTGCATCGAGCTGAGCTTCAAAGCTTGTCATCACCATTTACTCTTCTATTAAGAGCAAACCTCACTCCTCTGTTCTGAGATCTTCACAGAAGTCACTGTCCACTGCAGAAAGGCAACTGCACCCCGCCAGGCGACCTCTGATGGTCCCCCACCCGGAGCCCGAGGTCTGTGATCGAGGCCTCGCCATCCCAAAGGGCTACCGCTAAGGTTCAGCTCCTTCCGAGAAGAAAGTGCAATTGCTGCTCAGGAAACACAAAACAGCCACTTACCGGAGAGGAGGCCGCCCCAGTGTCTGACAGCCACCGCCCCTGCAGCCGCTCGGTCTGATGCCGCCGGCGCCGCCGGGAGGTGCGGTCAGAGCAGGCAGATGCGTGCGTCCCGAGGTGGCTGCCGAGGCAAAACAGGAACCTCTGCGCGCAGGTTCTCCTTTCCGTCCCCGGCCCGCTGCCCTGTTTTCGTGAATGCTCCCAGGGTAAATCCCTCTAGGAGAGCAGAAGCTCAAGCCCAGACCCTGAGGGTCCCCCGCCAGGTCGGCAGCTCTCGGAGGGGGTCCTGAGTGAGCCGTCAGCCTCGTGCACACAGAACGCGTGTAGAACATACCCACCTCTCATTCCTCCCTCGACCCAGCGCCCCGCTCACCACCCACCTGCCTTTCCTCTGCCTGCACGCACCCCCCAGAAGCCCGGGGGTGACCTGCACACCCCAAATAAGAGCTCAAGGCTTCTTGGCTTCAAGGAATCTTTTGCTTTTAAATCACCGCTTCCCAATCAGTGTTCCCACGCGCAGGCGGCACCCCGGTTCTCCGCACCGCGCCCCTGCCGCTTGCTCTTCTCAAGGACTGTGCGCCGCGGTCCGCAGCAGCGGTGCTGGGAGCCCGCCTGTCCCTAACGCGCCCGCATGGCCCGCTGCCCGCCACCAACACTGGGACCCGAGGATTTAACAATCCCTGAACCTTAGCAGCCGCTCCAGCCCCAGGAGCGGGGCCTCGCTGCTCCGTCCGCGCAGGCCTCGCCGGAGAGCAGCTCAGGAGCCGCTGCTCGGTGCTGAAAACCACAAGCCTGCCCCTTTCCTACGGCGGCTCTCATCTCACATGTCAATGCGCACCAGAAAGTGCCGAGACGGTCATTAGCTCTGATGTGGCAAAGAGATCAAGGCTACGGTGTCTGCGCACCCGGCACATCCTCCTACCAAGACAGAAACAAAAACCGCAGGGAAATGGCAGTTCCGTCCAACGGCGCAGCGCGGGCCACGGGTGGAGCGGCCTCTTCTGCTGCGAAGGCGCACGCGGTGCGACAAGATGGCAGCCTGGACCCGCCCCGTGGCTCTCTCCAGGGCGCCCCTGGGACCCTAGCGGAGTGACACCCAGAACCTGCCGACTAGGGATGTGGCCCCCAGTTTTCAAGGCAGGAACGTGCCCCTCGGAGCCCCCGGGCAGAGAGCTGAGCGCTTCCCAAGAAGCCGCTGGCCACGGGCCTGTGTGAGCTCACACTCTGATGGAATTAAGGGGTCAACGCACAAAACTCATCACGTCACGTAACCGCACAGAAAGGCTTCATCGGCCAGGGACTTCTGAAGGCCTTCAGCCCCCTGCAGATGGCAGGATTCAATTCCTCTTCTAGACCGGCCTGGTTTCTAGTGTGACAAAACCTCATGGGCATCGGGAAGAAAAAGAGGGAGACCTGCACCCAGGCCATGTCAGAGCCACGGGTTAAAACCAGCCCTTTCCCTCCTTCCATCATGGGGAAGCCGCTGTCCAGCTGCTCTGCTCCTGTGAGGGGAGCTGTGCCTGCCCCTCGGGGAGGAGGAAGCTGGCGGCCGTGCTGTGAGGTGAGCACAGGCCCAGGCAGCACACTGAACCCCCAGCTTGCTCTCCCCTGTGAAGGGCACTGTTGTTCATTTCTGGAGGAAGGAACTGGTTCAAACCACGATCAAGGCCACAAAACAACATGACTGAGGAACCCCCAGGGCCTTTTGTCTAAGGTGACAGACATATCACACGGCCTGTCCTCCACACAGGCCCGAAGGAAATGACAAGCAAACGCGGCGAAAACAGGTTCCTCCTTCAACGGGACGTGGACTTGGCTGGGTTCCCGTCACAGCAGCTCGCTGTGGGAGAAACGAGGACCCACAGAAAGGCCGCCTCGCCGTGAGAGCTCTATCTGGCAGTCCCCCCGTGGCCCCGTGACTTCTTACTGCTCACACTGCTCTCCTCTCCGTGAGCGGCCTGACAACCACCGCCCCACCAGGCAGGCCCAGATGGAGGTGTCACCGCTGGAAATGTAAACTGCGAACCCTGCCTTGCCACTTCGACCTCCTCGCCCGACCAGGGTCCATCGTGATGTCTATGAACCAACCAGGCTCTCCTCTGTGGACCAGGATAGCACAAGAGGGCGGGGCAAGTCCAAGAGGCAGAGCTAACAACCCACAATTTATAACCAGATCTGGGCAAAAACCGTAAAGGTGGTTTTTCGTGACGTCCAGTGTGCGGTGCCGTCCTAGGGACACCTCCCGCCCCCTGGGAGGCCCGTGGAGGGGCCGCTCTGTGAAAACGAAGATGGGAGGAGGCATCGTTTCGCTGTCCGAACCCAGACGTGAACCCATCGCTCTGGCGCCAGGGGCTGCCTGTCGTCCTTCCGGACGGCCAGGCCCGCACACTCCCTAACGGCTTAGAGAAACCCAAGGCGGCATCCGTCCGCACGAAGTGGGGGCCGCTGGTGAAAGGTTTCGCAAGACCAGAGGGGGAGTGTCGCTTATGCACAACACCACTTCCCTGTCTCGCACGTTACAGACCAACAGTCCGTCAGTGCCTCAGCTCACGCAGACTTGGTGCATTTGAGAAATCAAAGACGTTCTGAAGAATAACACGGGTTAAAAGCACATTTCATTGTAAATAACCGGTAAAATTACTCTACACAGTCCCGCAGAATCTGCTGAAGGGTCTTTCTTGCCTCGGATCTTAAAAGTCAAGAAGGAAGCCAGCGGTAAGAGAGTGCAATGACAAACTGCGCCCGGCAGGACAAAAGGAAGGCCTCCCTCTGCCTCGCCTCCCAGGCCCTGTACTTCGCTGGGGAGCCGGGTCAGAGCGTGGCTCCTGGTCCGACCACCAGGGAGACGGAGGCCGTCCACGCCACGTCGCCCACTAACTGCCGATGCGTCGCTGAGCGGCGAGGGCGGCCATGTGCTCACTCACAGCTGAGAATGTTCCCGGAGCAAAACCAGAGAACGCTTATCCCAAACGCCTCCCATCCGCCAGCACATCAGGAACCCCGAGCTCCGTCTCCGTCCAAAGAAAAGGCTCTGGCATCGGCAGTGTGGCTGACAGGCAGGCTCTCCCTCAAATAACGGGAAGAGAAGGTGTAATACATCAAGAGCACGGCGAAATAAAGTCCCTCTCTCCTCAGGAAAAGGGTTCCTTCATTCAATTAGAGGATGCGTGACTGAAGGGGTCGTTAGGAGTCTCTTCTGCAAGTTTCTGAGCAGTTCATAAATACAACAAGAAATCGCCAATGAGTAACTGGCTCCTCAAGTCTTTACTGGTGGGTTCCAGAGCCCTCCGGCCCGGCTGTCCGGCGGCTCCACTCCTCCGAGGGCTTCCGTGCCGGGGGCATACTTCTCAGTGACTCGGTGATTCTTCTGACGTTCTGCAAACTTCCCTCAGTACGTGTCTTCATAGTCCGAGTCCTGGAGAGGAAAGAGCAGCGGCTGTGGTGAGTACGGGAAGTATAATTAGAGTCAGAATTTAGCCAATAGCCACACATTAGGACCCCCCAAAGGAACCCAGTTTGGGGCAACATCCACATGAGGTGGCCCTGGCTCAATCCACCTACATGGTCTCATGGCGAATTTCTGCTTTGAAACCCCAAGCCAGCCGTGGGCAAACTATGGCCCGCGGGCCGAATCCAGCCCGTCTGAAATGAATAAAATTTAAAAAATAAAAAGACTGTACCCTTTTATGTAATGATGTTTACTTTGAATTTATGTTAGTTCACAAACACTCCATCCATGCTTTTGTTCCGGCCCTCCGGTCCAGTTTAAGAGCCCATTGTGGCCCTCGAGTCAAAAAGTTTGCCCACCCCTGCCCTAAGCGTTCCCTCTTCCTCGGTGAATACTTTTTAAAACCTCGGCACTCATAGGAAGGCGCCCAGAGGCTGCAGAACGTGCAGAGCTGTGGCCTGGCGTTTAGGCCAGGAGTCAGGCTCCCTCTGAGTTTCAATCCCTTGCGGGCTGGGTGACCTTGAGTCGCACTCTGTAACTTCTCTAAGCCTCAGTCTCCTCATCTGTAAAATGGGGATAATAAAAATACTGACACCACATAGCACAGCTCCGAAAACTGCATGAGACGATGTCTGTAACTCACTAAACACTGCCTGGCTCTTGGTAAGCTAAGCGCCTATATTCCAACTTGTACTCACTGCTTTGAACTCAAGCGGGCCGTTTGGCGCTCCCCGGCACACCACACTTCTGCAGGCCATTCATTCTCCTGTTCTCCTAGATGACTGCGCATACCTTCCCCTCTCCCGAACCTCCAAAACCACCTCCTCACTCTCTTTGCAGCATGCAGGAGGCAGCCAATCAATGATTCTCTCTCATCATTGATGTTTCTATCTCTCTCTCCCTCTCCCTTCCTCTCTGAAATCAATAAAAATATATTTTTTAAAAAAGATGCAATGAAAGCCATGTAATGAAGGAAAAACCCAAGGGTCTGCGAAAAGTTCGATTCCGGGCTCTGGATGCAGCCGGTCGAAGTCTCCTAGAGTGAGCGCAGGGCAGAGGACACCCTCCATCAGCAGGTCCCCTGTCACCCAGCGGAGACTGCGCCACGGAGTTCCTACCCCAGTCCAAAGCCACCACTCTGTGCCCAGGAGACAGAAGACAAAACAACCGTGTGAGCTGAGGGAGTGCCCTGAACCCTAACAGACCTCGGTTGCCACCATGCTCTGGACCTACCGGCACGACCCTCTGCGGCCACCGAAGGCAAAGGGTGCCCATAAATGAGCCAAGAAGCGACCCAGGAACAGGGCACAGAAGGGCGTGGCTTACCAAGCACTCGGCACAGCGGACGCAGAGCCTCGCCATGCAGTCGTCCTCCTCCTGGTCAGTGCTGCAAAACAGGACACCCCCCGCCCCCCGAAACCATCACTGGCTCCGCACGGCACAGCAGGCACTGAAGTCCACAGCTCTGCTGTCAGACCCGGCTCTGCCATCTTCGGCAGGGCGCCCGGCAGGGGACTTCAGCTTCGGCACTGTTTCCTCATCTATAAAATGCAGATATTAGCCCGGCCGGCATGGCTCCGGCATGAGCGTCGACCTATGAACTAGAAGGTCATGGTTTGATTCCCCGTCAGGGCACGTGCCTGCGTCGTGGGCTCCATCCCCAGTGTGAGGCGTTCAGGAGGCAGCTGACACATGATTCTCTCTCATCATTGATGTTTCTATCTCTCCCTCTCCCGCTCCCTTTCTCTCTGAAAACAATTTTAAACATGTATTTTAAAAAATTATTGGCTTTAAAAAATAAAGATAAATAATAAAATGCAGATATTACCTCTATGCTTAAAGCACAGTGGCTAGGAGTAAATAAAAAATAAATACACATCGAACACATACCACAGTGCCTGGCACATAGTAAGTGCTCAATAAATGGGAGCTGGTCACAGCCACTCCTGTAGAAATGTCCGGGCACCAGGCGTGCCTGAGGCCTCGTGCTGGGCGGGGACAAGGCCATCGCTAAAGCACAGCCCCTGGGAGCGTCCCGCCTCCTGGGTGAGAGGCCTGCTGAGCCGCAGAAGCTCGCGCTCATGCAAGGCCACCAGGGTTTGAACGGGCTGAGGTAACTGCTGTGGAGCAAAGAGGAGTGACTCCTCCTCGAGACTCAGGAAAACTCAAGAGAAGGGACGGTTCCACTGGGTCTTGGAGGGAAGGAAGAGTGTTCCAGCAAAAGAGGGAAAGGAGGAGGGGACCCAGGGGAGGGAGGAGGGTGTGGCGGGAGACGGGGCCGGAGTGCAGCTTGCTGAGAGAAGACAGAAGCTGGCTGTGGCTGGAACGCGGAGCGCATGGGAAGTGGCCGGGAACACGGCGGCTGTGGGAATCCTGCTGATTCTGAAGGAACGAGGCATCTACTTCACAATTTAAGTTCAGAACCAAAGGACCCATCGTCCGATTTCCAGAGCAGGAAGCTCGTACCTGCTGTCACCCCCATCTTTCCCCAGATCTGCCCCAGGTTTCACTTCCAGCCTCCCGTCCAGTACTGCTCCCCAGAACTGGCCTCTTCGAGAGGAGAGTCCATAAGCCAAACCGAGAAGACCAACATCACGTGGTTGCACTGCTTGCGGGACCTAATGAAAAGGACTTGACCAACCAAGTGAGACCCGAAGCAGGAGGCCTGGAACAACTGGCACACCGAATGTGGGCGGGCGAGAAGAGACCAACCCAAGGACTTACACACTTAAATGCATAGCCCAATGGGGGGGGGGGGGGGTAGGAGGTAACTGTAATACTATCAATAATAAAAAATATATTTAAAAAAAAAAAGGGACATTTCACCAGCAGAACTAAGCTTAGCTGGGAGTAAGAAAAGTAGGATGCAGGGGCCTGGCACCGTCCGCAAGGCAGGGATCTGAGAGGGTTAGGGTGCACCGCTCGGGGCTCTGGCTGCACTTACTCATCTGAAACCTCGATGGACGACTTCTTGTAGCCGGACTTGCTCCTCTTCCTCAGCCCCGCAGACTTCCTCACCATTCTCACCAGCAGCAGAGCCGCCACCACCGCCGAGGGGACGAAGACGAGGACGGAGAGGAGGGCCACGGAGGACAGCGCGGTGCCGAAGCCTGCGGGAGGAGCAGGTAGGGGAGGCCCTGCAGGCGTGTTCCTTTCACATGAGGTGGGTCTCACTTTTGCACTCACACTTTCCTCGTAACAAAAGGAATAGATTCAACAGGCTGGAAGGTAAGAACTAAACATGCAAAACGGGTAAAAACTTACCCGGAGCCCTATTACCGAGGCCAGTGACGGCGGCCTTCGGAGCGCGGCGTGGCAGCGTTTTGAAAAACCCTAACTTAACTCTGGTGCCGTGTCACATAGAGAAATGTTTTGATATTTGCAACCATCGTGAAACAAAGACTTATATTTTTTATATTTATTTTATATATTTAAGTGCCATTTAACAAAGAAAAATCAACCAAAAAAATGAGTTCGCGTGTCACCTCTGACACATGTGTCATAGGATCGCCATCACTGACCTAGAGTAACGCTTTGTCATCTACCCATTCCATCTTCTTCCTAGGACACGTGACTAGGGTCTGCAATAGGGAGGACAGTGCATGTTTTTAAAAGTGTGAGTCGTATTTTATGTATCATTCCCAACCCCTCGTTACTTACTACACAAGTACCTTATATGTCAGTAAAGATTCCTTCCACATCTGACCTTTTGTAAAAATATTTTTTTATTGGCTTTTAGAGATAGAGGAAGGGAGAGAGATAGAGAGATAGAGACAAACATCATCAATCGGCTGCCTCCTGCACTGGGGACCAAGCCCACAACCGGGGCATGTGCCCTGACCGGGAACCGAACTGGTGACCTCTTGGTTTCTGGGTCGACGTTCAGCTGCTGAGCCACACCGCCAGGCGAGACCTTTTTAATGGCTGCGTAGTATTCTATCGCCCTGTGTAGTTTACGGACTCAGCCCTCGAGTGCCGAACATTCAAGTCACCCCCATTCTCTGAAGTTATGAATGACATGATGATCATCCTTGTACATAAACCTTTATGTTGAGCTCTATTTCTTTAAGGTAACTTTTTAAACAGAATTCTAGATGGAAGAGTGCACACCGTTAAGACACCCGATTCACACTGCCAGCTGTCTTCCAGAGACACTGTGTCACTTCTGCTCCCACCACCAGGAGGAAGGTGCTCAGGTCTTTAAAATGTATGGGTGATTGTCTTTAGAAAAATCACATAGTCCTGTATCTCTAAGCCTTCGGTTCAAATTCAGCCGAGGGCTGGGCTGCCACTCGTCCCCAGGAAGCAAGGCAGATAAAAAGGGAGTCCTTAGCCTGTTCTCCTGTCACCGAAAGGCAACTGCTGGTCTTCACAGCACAAAGGTGCTGCCTCCACCACGGGGCGGGGGGGCCCTCCACCACGGGGCGGGGGGCCCTTCACCACAGGGCGGGGGGACCCTCCACCTCGGGGCGGGGGGGCCTTTCACCACAGGGCGGGGGGGCCCTTCACCACGGGGCGGGGGGCCCTTCACCACGGGGCGGGAGGACCCTCCACCTCGGGGCGGGGGGGCCTTTCACCACAGGGCGGGGGGCCCTTCACCACGGGGCGGGGGGCCCTTCACCACAGGGCGGGGGGGACCCTTCACCACGGGGCGGGGGGGCCCTTCACCACGGGGCGGGGGGGCCCTTCACCACGGGGCGGGGGGGGCCTTCACCACGGGGCGGGGGGGACCCTTCACCACGGGGCGGGGGGGCCCTTCACCACGGGGCGGGGGGCCCTTCACCACAGGGCGGGGGGGACCCTTCACCACGGGGCGGGGGGGCCCTTCACCACGGGGCGGGGGGGCCCTTCACCACGGGGCGGGGGGGCCCTTCACCACGGGGCGGGGGGGACCCTTCACCACAGGGCGGGGGGCCCTTCACCACGGGGCGGGGGGCCCTTCACCACGGGGCGGGGGGGCCTCTTCAGGACCCAGGCAAGCACATGTCTCTTCACTGAGGGAGAGAACACATTAGGGAAATCAGATGACTGCTACTTCACAGAGATAACCACCCTCCGTTTACTCAGGATTTGTCACACATTGTCCACAAGACCCCTGGTCACCTGAAGTCTAAAACAACAAAGAGAAATGGAGAAACTATGACAATATCTGAAGAAAGACTTCAGTTTGGCCCTAGGCGGTCTGGCTCAGTGGATACAGCATCGGCCCACGGACTGCAAGGTCCTGGGTTCGATTCTGGTCAAGGGCTCATGCCTCGGCTGCAGGCTCAATTCCTGGCCCCAGTCAGGGCTCCTGGGGGAGGCAACCAATCGATGCGTCTCTCTGATGCATCTCTCTCACATCAATGTCTCTCTTTCTCTGTCTCTCCCTCCCTCCCTCCCACTCTCTCTAAAAGTCAATGGGAACATGTCCTCGGGTGAGGATTCACAAAAGAAGGAAAAAGAAAAACGTCAGTTTGCAGAATAAAGATTAAAGAGTGCATCCTGATGGACAACTCAACTGGCTTAAGACAGGTGGCTCCGCTGTCACGGCCTCTCCCCAGAGCGCAGCCCCAGCCCTCAGGGCGGTGGGCTCACCCCTCTCTCTGACTGTGAACCCCTCAGGGGCCGGAGGAGGCTCACCCCTCTCTGTGACTGTGAGCTCCGTCGTGGGAATGTTATGGTGCACGTCTGGGGGGTTCTTCACGGCACAGCTGAAGGTCCCGTTGTCCCTGGTGGTGGGATTACTTATGCTTATGGACGCGTCCCCTTTGTACACGTCTCCGACCCAGGAGATCCGGTCGCGAAACGTGCCTGCGGTGCTGGGGTACTGGAAGGACTGGTAGTGGAAAATCTAAGAAAGCAGCACAGGAGAGAAACAGTTAATTTGAAAAACACAATGACAATGGAAAGCTTAGAGGTCTCAAGTAAATACAGGTGTGTCGGGGGTCTTCTCCGTTGAGCACTGTTTTATACTTGGTTTGCCTCTATCCTGTAGGTTCAAAGAGGGCCAAGGAAACAGAAGGCAGACCTGACGGAAGACTTCCCCCGTACCCTGGAGCCTCTTCGATGTCTCCCTCAAGTCCTGAAGCAGGAGCTCTCAAAGGGGGACACCGGGCAATGTCTGGAGACAGTTTTGTTTGTCACAACGGGGGGACA